TCAACTGGTATATCTAGATCTCGCAACAACAACAACACCAACCTTATCGCGTATATTTTCATTTAGCATTTTGTCTAAATCTCAATATTACATTGCTGGTCTAAAAATCAAATTTAGTTGCAAAAGATTATAGCAATGGATTTGCAGAAAAAACAACGCAATCGAACTCCAAGATAAAATCTACAAAAGCTTAAAACCAACCCAAAAAACCATTAAAAAAAACCCGCTTTCAGTTCCTTCAAATATTTTGATAAGCTCAATCATAATAAAAAAAAAGTTCAAGTTCATCTTTCATTATTTCTGAAGCGTGCTAGAAGATTCGTGATGATAGCTTAATAGTTTATCATTTTAACATTGCACGAGAATTCAACACACACTCAAATAAAAGAAAACAAATAAAAACACTAGAAGTTTTCACGTGGAAAACCCGAAAAGAAAAAAAAATAATGATTCTGGCCCGACTAAAGTATAAAGTGGAGATTACAATTATCGTCTATCGTCTCACAGGCTAGAAATGATTGAACACACTTTGTAGTTACAACGTTGGTAGAACGAGCATCATCATTTGAGCTCTAAAATGATAAAAAGTTGATGTTCGGGTAAAATAATTTCCGGAACTATCGGAAGAAGCTGTTTTACCAAACGAAAATAAATCTGCACGTCGAGCATTCAAAGCAAGAGAACAGAACTTAAACGCCTTCTCAAATTAAGCCAACTAGTTTTTGTAAGTCAAATAATCTATATTGTTAGTATAAATTAAGCCATGATTTAAATCGAAGGATTATGAATGCACTTACAAGATTCCCCTCATCATGCCTAACAATTAGTGTACAACAATTATTATTTCAGGAAAAAACAATAGAAAATCTATGCACTATTTTCTATTATTCGGAAACCAACAGAAAAGTGAAGGATGAGTTCCGTTCATGATTAATAATATAAATCATATCTCTAGGGGGGGAAAGCATGATCATTATTGTCCAATTATATCAGGAAACACATGCTGCAGCCAATCACACACAAGATCGGTAATAAAACCATCCGATCATTGAGAGTCGAGGCTGTTCGGTGTTATGGAAGGAACAGTGGATTTAAGAACCGTTACTGTAAATGGGGGGAGCCCTAACGGTAACAAAGGGTCACATGCCGAGCACGTGCGAGAGAGAAAAGGGAACGCGAAGCTTCGTAGAGAGGGGTACCGCCTGAGATCCGTTCACCGGCTTGTCGTTAACGGTCAAAATGAAGCGAGCTTCCAACGGTCACCAGAAAGAGCTTCCCCGCCCCATGGTCCTCATCAGACGGTGAACACGAAGCAGCCGGACATTACGGAACGAAGCTTTACTTTGCTTATACTTTGCGGCATTTTTTCCATGGAGCTGACAGAGGAGGAAGACGAACTGATAAAACCTCTCCTTCTCCCTTCACATTTCCAACTTTTAGTTTCCTCTATTTTGCTGTAGATGAAGAAGAAATTGGAGCGCCTAAGCTTCAAACTTGGATAAAAATCTGATTTTTTTTTCCTTGCTTTCTTCGGTTCTTTTCCTTTGCGGCATTTATGTTCGAAGGTTGCAGAGACTGAAAATGGTGGAAAAGCTTGATCAACGGAACCTCTGTTCGAGTGACAGGAGAATTCAGAAAAGCTTAGGTGCGTTTAGAGCTGAAGTAATGCTACATTTCGAGGTAATTCTTTTTATATATCGATAGTTTTTTAGATATTTTTTATATATATATATAGTTTATATAAACAAAGTTGGGCTTGATACACCTGCAAGTATATTCTCTGTTTTTCTAAACTTCACACTCACTTGTGCCTTAGCAGCATCATCTTTGTGTCAAATTTATGAATTTTAACTTTTTTTTCAATCCATACTGATTGCTGCAATAAGATTTGACAGAATGACAATAAAAGAAGGATTGATTATTCTTTCAAACTAAAATGTTGTTAGTATTATTGTAGGCCAAGCAGCAGCAAAGGTGCAACAATGGAGTGAGATCACTGAACCTTATTGGCTTCCTCATGCTGTGAAGACCTTCTATTTCCATCTAAACAGCCAATGCTTCTAAATTCTCTTCCAGACTGCGAAGGACTTGGACAAAATTGAAGTGCCTAATGTCAAGAATAAGCCTTATAATGATTCCTCCGAGAACCAGTCATGGCGTGAGATTATTGGGCTGAGCAGCCAGAGAGAAAACAGCCAAACGGAGGACCAAAGCCTTGAGCTTGTGAACTTTCTGACACATTGCGCTGAAGCAATTAGTACAGGTGATCATGCTTCTATAAACTACTTCCTATCTAGACTCGGAGAAATGGCGTCTCCAACTGGAACTACAGTTCACCGACTTGCAGCTTATTTCACTGAAGGTTTAGCAATAACTGCAGTAAAGCTCTGGCCTCATATTTTCTCCATCAATCCGCCACGCGATATAACGGAGCCAATCGATGATGATGAAGCCACTGCTCTCAGACTCCTCGACCAAGCCACCCCGATTCCAAAATTCATCCATTTCACTCTAAATGAGAGATTGATGAGAGCTTTTGAAGGGAAGGATAGAGTGCACATCATTGATTTGGACATCAAACAAGGACTTCAATGGCCAAGTCTTTTTCAGAGCTTGGCTTCCAGGCCCAATCCACCAAAACATGTGAGGATCACAGGGATTGGAGAATCAAAGCCTGAGATACAAAGCACAGGAGCGAGGCTAGCCGGGCTTGCTGATTCTTTGAATCTTCCTTTTCAGTTTCATGCCGTTGTGGACCAATTGGAGGATGTAAGGCTTTGGATGCTTCATGTAAAGGAGGGGGAATGCTTGGCTGTAAATTGTGTTCTTCAGCTGCACAAGATGCTCTATGATGACACAGGGGGATCTCTAAGGGATCTAATGTGTGTGGTTAGGAGCACAAATCCTGCAATAGTTTTGGTTGCAGAAGAAGAAGCTGATCACAACCACCATCAACTGGAGGTGAGGTTTGCAAACTCTTTGAATTACTACGCTGCAGTCTTTGATGCCTTGAATGTTAGTCTACCGGAGGATAGCTCGGAGAGATTGAAGATTGAGAAGATGTTTGCCAGAAAGATAAGGAGTATTATCGCTCGAGAAGGGACTGAAAGACATGAGAGTTTCAGCAAATGGAGTAGGAAGATGAAGGATTGTGGATTTGATAATGTGGGTATTGGAGATAGGGAGAAGATTCAAAGCCAAGTAATATTGAGGATGTACTCAGATTCTAACTTTTCTGTGGAGAGGAAGGAAGCAGATGGAGAAGCTCTTTGTCTAAAATGGCAAGAGCAGCAGCTTTATACTGTATCTGCCTGGGCTCCCATGGACGTTGCTGGAAGCTCGGCTGTCCCTCAGCCAGATTGATTGGGGTTCCAAAACTAACATGGTTTGATTAAGTTTCATCATCTTCTCAATATTCTGCTTGGATTCTTTTGCTCCTCTTAATGCTGAGATTTCTTACAGGAAGAAAGTTGAGATTTCTTTCTTACAGTCGATACTTCTTTTATTCTTTGATGAATACTTGTAATAGGCAAAGAAAGAAAGTGGAATAAGATTGATATCATTCTTTGATTAATTTATTAAGAGAACATATCACTGATTTGATGTTAATAATGTCATTTCTTACCCTAGAGTTTTTATAGTCATTCAACATCATTGTACTGAATGCTGATGCAATGAAAGTTTGTTTCTCGTGCTTCAGTTCTCTGAAAGTGATAATTGAGATTTTTTTTTTTGAATAATTAGGATTTGATTGGAGCTGTATATTTTGGCTTTCTTAATATTAATTGAGACAGGCTTTTAATATTAGATTATTGAATTTGGTAGGAGCATCTTGTGAGTTTGATGAACTTGAAATTATTTTGTCTATGTTGATTATTATCAAATAATAATTGCATATCAGTGATTATGAGTGTTGAGAAGGCAATAGCTAGGACTGCTAGAATATCAAAAACTGTGACTTGTTACCTATTTAACAAATCAAATTTACCTCATTTTTACATATGTGAGAATTTTGGCGCTTTGTTGTACGTTGGGTGAACTGATATGGCAATTTATGATAGGGGCAATGTCTACTTCAAAAAAAGTATTTTGCAAAACACCTCAAAAAGTCAAAATATTAATTTTCTATGTAGTTCAATTGTTCTAACAAGTTTAATAAGATATTCCATTAAGTTTTTGAATCTATGCGCCGATATCAGGTTAAAATGATACAATCTCGAATATATAAAAGATAAACACTTACAATTTGAGAGGTATACATATCTCCAATAATATATTTCTCTCTTCAGTTCTCTGAGATTCAAGACAACAATCACACATGACATAACTCTAAACATATTAAACCATATTTATACTCCACAATAATAACCAATGAATGACTAAATTGCCCTTTTAGTCTTCGTCCTAACATAAGTCTTTAATTTTTTTGGTGGGCATGTTGGCGACTTAATGGAATATAAGGTGGATGGCGCCGTTGACACCGATCTAATAGTACTCCCCTTTCAAAAAGTCACCTTGTCCTCAAGGGAAAAGGGAGGAAACTGTTGTTGGATCAAATTATAGAGCTCCCACATGACGTCATAACTTGGTAATCATTTCAATTTAACCAGAAATTTGTAGTGGCCTCATGAGTTTGAAATATAGTTTTGTATACATCCGTCGGCCGCATTTGAATATGATGGTATACTGACTTCAAGTCAATCTTGGAAAATACTGCAGCCCCAAATAGCTCTAGTAGCTCATCGATCATTCGGGTGGAAAATTTTTCAGGCACTATTTCTTTATTCACTGCCAGATTATCCACACAAATACACCATCCCCTATCTTTTTTCTTCAACAACTAGACTAGGTTAGAGAAGGGCTCACACTAAGTTGTATGCTTTCAAACTCCAATAATTCTTGTGTCAATATCTTGATCTCTTCCTTATGAACCTGGGGTAGAGATATGAGTGTACATTGATGGGAGAAAACCTCGATCCCAAGGTTATTACATGCTCGTGTTCCCTTCAATACTGCAATTCACGTGGCAACTGAAAAACTTCTACAAATTATTATAGGAACTATTAGATTGGTGCAAGACTCTCTGTCAATTTCGTATCATGTGTCTTTTTCATGCAATGCAGCTCAATCAAGTATCCCAACCCTATGTCATGTATTATCCTAATAATGGTTTTGAGTGTCCTTATGGTCTTGAAGAACTAAGGTCACTGTGAAATCACACCATCTTGTCTCCCGTCTAAAACTCCATTGCTAGGAGTTTTCAATTCATCTTAGTCTCCCCTAAGGACTACAACCATTCCATACCCAATATTACGTCAATATTCCCTAAATTCAAGGAAAGAAAATTCTCCATCACCTAAATACCTTGTAGTATTACAATCACTCATTTACAAACCCTCATGTTCTTCTCCACCCATCTCATCCATATAACGACTACAAAATTGCTCGTGTCAACCTTCTCAAGCCCCAATTATTTCACTTCTTGAGTAAGGATGAAGTTGTGGATGGTTTTATTATCTACCAAAACCACTACCCACTATGTCTTGTTCTTTGATATGTCTCTAAGGTTTCATATAGGTTTTAATTGTAATAAGTCCTATATAAACACGCACGTACACACATTTGCACTGTCGCAACCACTTTGGCACTGTCGCAAAACAGAAAAACGAGTAAACAGACAATAGAGAAAAAAAAGCTATACTTTCATAATCATTATGAAGCAAAACAGAAAAACGAGTAAACAGACAATAGAGAAAAAGGAGCTATACTTTCATAATCATTATGAGCAAAAAGGTGTCTGTCAAAATGATTACAACAATGATTACATCATATATATATACACACATATATATGTATATATGAAAGATATATATGATGTAATCATTTTGACAGGCACCTTTTCGCTTCATAATGATTATGAAAGTATATATATATATATATAGGAGCCTCTACAATCAGCACTACCGTATATACATATAATACGAATAAAGGTTTAAAATTAATACTGGCAAGGAAGTATTAGATATAGCAACTGTTGCTTATAAGAGTATTTGATTGCATTAGTTCCCCTTTGGTTCAGAAGAACTCGACCAAAGTTCGGTAACTTGCAAACATCTATCATCCGGTGGATGATACTCATATAGATCAGCTACATTGAAAGTGGAATAGATATTCAAATCACAAGGAAGTGTCACCACATACTCATTATCATTATTAAACTTTATTTCACTAGGAAATGACCCAAATTTTCATGGTTTTAGGGCATCGTTCCTTACGGAGTTGAATCATCACAAGATCCCCAACATTAAAAACCTTTCTTCTTTGATGTTCATCGGCTTGTTGCTTGTACTTCTCAATGATCTTGATAATTTATGTTTCACATTGCATAACATTTCATCAGTCACTCGCCATTTTCATCTCTTGAGAACTTTTCATTTTAAGAATTACAGCTACATCAACTATATGATTTGGTTCTTTAGAATACACAATACTGAAAGGTGTCTTTCTTGTAGTTTTATTTGTCATAGAATTAAAATTATATTCCACCTAACCCAAGACATCATCCCATTACTTTGGATGTTCACCTGCAAGACTTTAAATTATATTATCTAACGAGTGGTTACCACTTCAATTTGTCCATCATATTGTGGATGATAGGCTGAACTAAATTTAAGTTCAGTTTGTAGTTGCTTCCACAATTCACGCCAGAAACAATTAAAAAATTGGACATCACAATCCGAAGTGATGCTTCTTAGAATGCCATGTAGACGAACTATTTCCTTAAAGAAAAGATTTGCGACATTTATTGCATCAAATATTTTCTTGCAGGCGATAAAGCGAGTCATTTTTTAAAACCTATCAACCACCACCATAATAGAATCAAGTTCTCTTTTGATTTTTGGAAGTCACAAAACAAAGTCTAAACTAAAATCTTCCCAAATTGAATCCCGAACCTGTAATGGAGTATATAGGCCAGTGTTCTAATTGACACCCTTAAATGTTTGGCAGACTTGCATTTCTCAACAAAGCAACAAATATCTCGATGAAATCAGGGCCAAAGAATCTAGCTTGAAGGAGAGCTAGCGTCTTGTATCTTCCCACATGAGCGGCCAACCCAACATTATGCATTTCTTGAATGAGCTAATGCTGAAGGGATGTATTTGGAATACAAAGCTGACCGACTTTGAAGAGGAATCCTCGTTGAATGGAATAATTACCAGTTGATTTGTGATCAATGCACTGTGACCATGGAATTAAAAAATCATCTTCATCTGCATATTGCTCGCAAAGTGTTTCCATGTTCGTGATTATGGATTGGATAGCAACTAGAAGACTCGCTCTTCATCTTAGAGTGATGTTATTTTAGTAGTTGTAGCTCTAGTGACAAAGTTGTAATTATGGGCAATCAAATTATTAAAAGGTGTAAACGCTTTAGATATATCGGGTCTATTGTTCAAGGTGATGGTGATATAGATGAGGATGATATTAGTAGAATTCAAGTTGGTTGATTGAAGTAGAGGAATGCTTTCGGTCTATTATGTGATAGAAAATTACCGCTTACACTGAAAGGAAAATCTTATAAGATGGTGGAGAGACCTGCAATGCTCTATCGCGCAAAATGTTGGCCTCTAAAAGACAAGCATGAAACTAAGTTAAGTGCTGTCGAGATAGAATGCTTAAGTCGATTTGTGGCTTTACGCTTAGAGGGGCTTTAAACTTAGAGACAAAATACGATATGAATATATATGTGATAGGGTTAGTGTAGCTCCAGAGCTCCAGGGCAGTCAAAATTAGAGAGCGTTGCCTTTGCTGGTTTGGTCACATTAAACATCGACCATTTGATGATACGGTTAGGAGAGTAGATGTTTTAGATTTGACTTATGTTAGGAAAGACAGATGTAGACTAGAATAACTTGGGCATATTGTATAAAAAATGATCTTAATTTATTAGAATTAAATGAAAATATGACACTCAATAGGACACAATGGAGAAAAAGAATTCATGTAGCCGACCTCATTTATTGTGATAAAAAGCTTGTTATTGCTGTTCTTGTTGTTGTTCTTAGGCTTAGACTGTCCGCAACTTGATTGCTATAGCTGGATTTTTGTGCTTTTGTACAAAACTAATTTTTTGGAGAAATACAATCCATCTTATGTGCATTCGATTTAAATTCTTGTGTTTGAAAAAATTGAAATAATTTACGATTGCTAAGAAGCATAAACTTCTGTGAAATTAAATAATGCTCCCATTGTTTGAGTGCCAGAACCACATCATTCAATTCATGTTCGTATGTAGACCACTTTTGTCCCGGAGCACTAAGTTTCTCGCTGAAAAATTCGATAGATCGATTTTTCTGAGATAGAACTCCTCCTATTCCTATAGCAGGAGCATCTATTTCCACTTGGGAAGGTTTATCAAAGTCACATCGCTAGAACTGATGCAAAACTTAGGTGATATTTAATGGCAGCAAAGCTTGACTAATGTTCATCACCAAAGAAAAATAATTTATGCTTCAAACAGTCTGTAATCAAAGCCACAATGACGCTGAAATTTCGAATGAATATGATAGAAATTAGCGAGTCCATGAAAACTTCATGTTTCAGTAAAATTTGTTGGTGTTGGTCATGAATTGAAAACCTCCACCTTTCTCAGATCAATTTTAATGCCATGCCCTGTTTGGACACAACAAAACCCAAAAACGGCATCTCTTCCATCGCAAACTCACACTTGGAAAGATTCTGAAAAAGCTTGTGATCGCATAGAGTCATTAAAATCAATTTTAAGTGGTGCAATGAGGATCCAAAGAAGGCTATACAGAATAATATCATTAAAATATACCACACAAAAAATATTAGTCTGATGAATGTGCTTCGTGCATTACATAAGCCAAATGACATGACTCTTGACATTCATATAGGCCTTCTCATGTCTTGAACTTAGCTTTCAATTCATCTCTTTCACCAATTCTATTTTGATATAGCCGTTAAGAAGATATAGTTTTAAAAAATAATTGGCTCCACCCAATCTATTGAATAGTCGTCTAGGCGTGTTGTGCATCCGTCCGCCAAAGCCGTTAAGAAGATATAGTTTTAAAAAATAATTGGATCCACCCAATCTATTGAGTGTCTAGGCGTGTTGTGCATCCGTCCGCCAAGTCGCGACCGGCCCTCCGATCTCATGGGGACCGCCGTGTTCAACGACGGCGTGACCTCAGCGGTGGTGGGTGTCGGAGATGGAACAGGGGGAGGAAAAGACGGCGTTATTTGGAATGGAACTGACGGCGCCGCCGGAGTCTTTTATGGGGACGACGGGCGTTATTGATGGACGGATGGGGAAAGCAGGCATGGGTTTAATGGCTTGTTTTGGGCTGTTCATGTATGGATGAGGAGTAGTTAGGAGTTATTATTAAGGTTAGTTTCGGGCAGCTTATAAGAGCGGGTCGTATTGTTTGGTTCGCGTGTTTCATCAGCTTATACGAAATTGTGTTTGGGTTTTTACACTAAACGCAGGCCGCGGTTCGACAGTTCGCCCCCTGCGGCGGGCCCGCGGGCCGCGTTTCAAGATAAGCAACTTATCTTGAAACACACAAACTGCCCCAAACGGACCCTAAGTCTGGAATGATTGGTGGTATTTTGATAATATTTATCATCAACAATGTCAAAATAATATCAAATATATACCTATCAGCACATATCTTATGAAAATGTAATAATTTTTCAGTAGTTAGGACAGTTATCGATTTAATTTTGTGCCGAGTTCTACTCGAAAAGTCAAATGAATTGAGTGTTATTTGAAACGGGCTCGTGATTTATTATATTTTATTTTGAGTCAACTCACTTTTGAATTGTCTCAAGCTCATTTTGACTCAAAGTTGAAATAAATTGGCTCAAATTCAATTATTTAGATACGTTCATGTCCCAAATTAGCTCTATCAAGCTCGAAAGTTAAAATAGTTGGGCCAAATTGAGTTATTTGGACCTGCTCTAGCTCGAAATTGGATCATGAGTTGTAACATTCAATTTTATTTAGCACTATATACATGTATAATTTTTTTTAAGTAAGCAAATAAATCGAGCCGATCTCAAGCCGATCTCAAGCAAATTTATGGTTCATAATGCAAATAAACAAAAGGGAAATTATGATTTTTTTATTACTTTTTAGTTAATAATTTTATTGTTTTATTTTAATATTTTATATTATGATTTAATAATAAATTGATGAAAAGCAAAGGTTTATATTATATGAGTTCTTTAAAAAAAATGATTTAGTTCTTTATTAAATATTTAAATTAATAAGCAAAATCTGTTTATATTAATTGGATTAAATAAAATTATAGAACCTTATCCTCAAATTAAGTATTTGCATTATAGAATGCTTTGAAAATGATATATAATATCTTTTTATCTCCTAGATTTAAAAAAGGGGGAAAACCCTAGAATAATTAAGACGAGAATAAATAATTTAAAAAATGCATGATAAATAGTTAAATACCGATTAGCTTAAATATTAAGTTATTAATCCCCCACATAGTGGGATTAAGGCTTTGTTGTTGTTATATAATATAAATAAACATCATCAAGCCATTTTATATGACATTTTTAATAATAAAAACTTAATTTTTGCCTCCTTTAAATAACCAAGTGGCCTTCACAAACATACCAACTAATTCCTATGTATTTACATATCATACACCAAAACTTCACCTTTACATTTATACTGCCCAAATATTTCACATCACGTCTAAAATACACATTTTCATGCATAGACAGCATGAGGCATGTAAAAAAATTGAAGCTTTGGTGACTGATATGTAAATAAACAGAATATGATTGGCATGTATGTAAATATGCATAAGGATAAAAGACTATCAAATAAAAAGGATGATAAAATTAGTAATTTACAGTTACAAATCTTCAAATTACAGTTCAAATATGCAAAAGAAAATCAAAGTCTGTTTTACAGCACTGCAGTAAGATTTTACAGAAAGTTTAGATGAACACCAAAGAAGCATTATGAATCAATAGAACTCCAGCTGCGCTTTAATATGACGATAATGAAGACCAGAACAGAGAGCATGAAGGAAGAACTCACCAAATCACTTACAGTTTCCATGGTGTTTTCTTTCGTCTGTTGATCGAAGAGTTTGCTCACAAGATTGAAGATATCGTCCATAAATTTCATCACTGCTGCTTTGGCAATCCCGAAAAGCCAGCTTAAAATCTGGGCAGTAATGTCAGGGTTTGCATCTGAAGCATATTCCACATGTTTCAAGTACTTGTCTGGATGAGTGAGTGATTCAGAGTTAGCTTATTGGAAGAGAAAGAAAGAACGGATTCTTTATTTTTATTTTGTTTTGTTTATGTTTTGATCACAAAGAAAATATATTTGATATGTTTGATTAAGATATAGTTGTTTTTAGGAATAATCAAAACACCTGAATATTGTTTTGAGTGTTCAAAAATATGTTAATTTATTTTTAGGAAAAAAATAGAAATATGTAAAAGCACACCAACCAAACATGTTTTAAGAAACAACTGAAAAAATAAAAAACAAAATAAGATTGATCCCAAACAGACCCATAGGGTGGGCGAAATTTTAAGCATTAAATAATATATTAAATAATAAAAAAATAATAATAAAATGAATACAAAATCATCTCTAATGCCAACTTAAATGTTATGATACGATACTAAGAGTTATTTTTTCATCAAATATTTTTATCACATAATCATCTGCATAAAAAAATATATATCAGATCCCCCTCATCATCAATGATTTTAATAGACACAGGTGTTTGGGATTCCACAACATCGTTTACTGTTTGTTGCTCTGATTGTTCAATATCTACAAGTAATCTCACACCCCTAATAGATAAGAGTATCGGTTTCGGTTGATATTTGAACATCCGGTTGAATGTCTAAAAAACAATAACTAGTCAGACAATATAATCATATTTATGAAATGAAAATATAAATATACAAGAATGTAAAATTTAAGAAAAATATATAGATAAATGGTTAAGTTGGGCATATTTTTTTTATAAGAATTAGACAGAATCATAAATTGAGGGTGTGCAAACTCAAACTTAATATTTTTATAAGGTAATAAAATATTTGGAGCGCTCATTCCGTGCGGAAGCCGGATGTGTCCAATTAGAAATTTTAAATAATAATAATAGTAATAAATCGGGGCCCACTGACATACAATTTTTGTAGGGGGGTGTTTTGATTGGTTCACCGTGCGTATTTCTGCGTGCAGTAAACGTATGTAATAATTTTTTAATATTTGAGAGCTATAAGATGGTTCCGCCCATGAGAAAGAAAAGCTAATAAGGTTTCAGAATATAAGGTAATAAAATATTTGGAGCGCTCATTCCGTGCAGACACCGGACGCAAATTGCGTCCCGTGTCCAATCAGAAATTTTAAATAATAATAATAGTAATAAATCGGGTTTTTGATTGGTTCACCGTACGTATTTCTGCGTGCAGTGAATGTATGTAATAATTTTTCAATATTTGAGAGCTATAAGATGGTTCCACCCATGAGAAAGAAAAGCTAATAAGGTTTCAGAATCAAAAAGTAGAAAGATTGATTTGATGATGAACGTCAAGCTCATCCTATCTCTTTATTTATAGATTTGGGTTAAGATTCAGTGCTATAAGGGAATGATAATCGTTGAGAGATATAGAAAATTTTACATTGGAATGCTAAGAAGCGAAGAAATTTGGTTGGTTGATGTTTAAACGAATTCGGATAAATGTTATGTTAAAGTTAGAGTTCTCTTTGGCAAATTCCTAGAGTAATTCTTTTTGCAAGTTCTTCTGATCAAAGAGTATGTGCTCTTGATTTACATACGACCCAATTCCTTTTTATTTATATATCTAACACTTAACATTCAAATCTTTCATATTACCTAAAAAATTTCATTGTTTAACTTTAAAAAAGTGAAATATAGGTTCTCATGCATAGGTAAGGTGGTATGTATGTAAAAATTAAAGTTTAGGTGTTAGATGTGTGTAGATACAAAGGAATTGAGTGGTATGTATGTAAATCATCCTTTAATTTTTTTTTAACATGACATTCTCATATAAGAAATGACAGTGGTTCCTTTGATGGCAACTCTACTGTTTCCAGTTCTAGAAAAAATAAAGCTCCCTCGCCAGTATATGGAACTTGTTCAATTCGGTCCAGTTCTAGAAAAAATAAAGCTCCCTCGCCAGTAAATGGAACTTGTTCAATTTCCTCACAATACCATCAAGCATCATGATAAATATACTCCCTACACCAATAGAACGACAAGCTTGATCTTTATCCAGAGTTACTGCACTGCTATCAAGTTTATTGTGCGTACAAAACTACCCTCGATGAGAATAAATCTGATAGGTAGCACCTATAACTACAGATAACGATACATTTGAATCAACCTTTTCACATCTTTTCACAATGAAATAGGTGTGAGTATACAACTTTTTTTCTCTCTACTTCAGCTACGAACAATCTTTCATCCAATGACCAGTCTCTAAGCAGAAAGTAAGCTGATTTTTTCCAAGACTGCCCCACGCGATTTAACTCGCTTTTGAGAAATGTCGTCACTGCCACCTTTATTTGTCAAATTCTTCTTCCTCTTCTCAGATCTGACATGTTGGAGTGTAAGCTTCTTAACTGTCTCCATCCTTGCAAACTCATTGTTCCTTTGGCGGAACTCATGATTTAATAACTTTGTAGTCACTTCATCATAATTCAAGACCTTATTCTCATGAATATGTATTATAGTGAAGTTGTCCTACTCATTTGGAAGCGAATTCAACAAAAGGAGCGTCTTAACTTTATTTTCAACCTTCTCGTCAAAGTTTAACAATCTGCTAACAGCTTTGTGAAGTTATTAAGTGATCAACAATAGTAACCCCACGTCTAGTCTGAAATCCGTAAAGTTTATGTTTTATATGGAGACGGTTTTCTACATTGTTCGTGAGATATTTGTTCTCCAGTATTATCCACAATTTCCGTACAGAAGTCTCTATAACACAGCGCATCTATTACTTTATATTGCAATATGTCAAAGTTTTCTTTCCCGTCAAATTTCGTCACATCAATTTTTATGGAATGTATAACTACCTGATGAATCAACTTTTTCACCGCCATAGTGGACGTTGAAGAGCCTGTCATCATGTCATCATTCATTATTCTTGTTGTCAGAATCTTTTTCCCAAAAAAAAATTCTCCTAACATAATACTTGAAAAAAAAAAGGAAAAACAAACAACAAAAATGATTCACCTCAAAAAATAAAAATGTCACAAAAAATAAAATTCTTTTTTTTTATTTTCTTTCCTTTTTTTCTTTCTTTAAGAAAAAAATTCATTAAAAAACTTTTTTTTTTGCTTTCCCAAATATCCCTCCAGCAATTTTAAAAGAATATTTGGAAATCGTTTTCCTTCACGAACCCACGCAAGCAACTTTCCTTATTAAAAACATCCAAAAGTACTTTCCTTTTTACCTTTTTTTTTACTATTCCCGAAATCCCACTGTGCATAAGCGAAGCTTTCATTTTTCAATTGTTTCACTGTTACATGCTGTTCCATGAAATTTCCTTCCTGCCATAGCCGCCGAAGTCCTTGAGCCGCGCACCGAATCTTCACGTCCAAGCCATCGGTCTGCGCTGAACCTCTAAATATGCTTGCAAAGCACATCTAATCACCTGCTGCAAAAAATTATGACAACACAAGCTGGATTTGCTATTGTCTAAGGCCAAACCGCACTCCGATCACGAACTCGAAGCTCTGATATAAATTGTTATGCCGAAACAAAAAAATTTATACAACAACAATCAAACACAAAAGATTTAAGTGGTTCGAATTTAAGTTGAATCGCCTACGTCCATGGGAAGAGAAATTTCACTAGCACCCAATGGAAAGAGAAAAAAACTAAGGGTTATAACTCACGCTCATCACCATGTTATCCTCTCATGAACCCTAAGTCCCTTTTATAGAGAACGATTGCGGCAAATTACCCCTGATTACATATAAACCATAAATACAACACATTAAGCATTATTTAGATTGCAGATGAATTCAGGAAATAGTACTTATTGAGTAAGAAAATTCAAGCTGCCATGATGAAAATTAATCTCAATAAACTTTAAAAATTTTCACATGGAAGACTCCTGAGAGAGAAAATCATGAGGCCTTGCAAAGAGTTGGAAGAAACAAACATTTGATAAATTGTTACGGTGTATCATCAAAATTTTTACAAAATTTAACTAAATTATTACAATTACGTACCCACATGATATGTTTTCTTGAATTCTCGAACCATCTCATTCTTCATGACAGCATTCCAGACAGCTTTGTCAGTTGACAATGAAACCACCATGTCCTGAATTGTTTTCAAAGATCAGTAAATAAGATCCATACAAAATGTGTAGCCCGATAACCAAACAAAGTTCCAGCTTTAAATTTGAGCTAATAGTTAATTTAGTATAAAATTTATTAAGTATTAATATTAGCTTTTATTAAATAATGCAGAATTTTTTTTATAAATTGATTAAGAAATAAAATTCGGAAGAGATAGAAGGTGAAGAAGGAAATGAAATATAAGGTTTGAAATAAAATCAGAATTTTATTCATTGGAGAGTTTCAAAACATTAATTCATGTGGTTTGTAAAACATTATATTGCTTATTAAGTAATAATAATATTAGATTAAATTCTAAGTCAATGATAATAATGTAGATTAATTTCAAATTAAATTTAATAATAATATTAAAAGTTACTTATTTGAAGATAGTGCATATATGAAAATTTAGTAATTATAATTTGAGATTGGGCATGATAAAAAAATCAGTATATGAGATGTGAAATGTTAATTGATGTAAGAGAGCAATAAATATGATGAGAGAAAGACACATGAAAAGAGAGTTGAGTGATTGAATATATATAAGTAAGCATTAATCATACACTTAATGATATATAAGGTGTTATGACAAAGAAGAAATAACCAAGCAAGTTTTGTGATTAAGTTGGGTTATTACATTTATGTTTGTACTAAATATATTTCTTTTAATATAAATAAAACTTTGAAATCTAATCAGAACCAAATTTGATTTCTTCAGATTATTACAGGACATAATTATACCTGTGAATGAAAATGAAAAATGAAAAAGGCTTGAAAAATGAAATAAAAAGTTTGTAACCTAATAGGTACAAATTTTGAAATGATACTCCTCAGATGACTACCCAAATGAAATGCAAATGAAAATATTTAAAAGGTTCTAATTAAAAAATATATTTAATGTTTAAAAGTTGTAAGAAATGAAATAACAATGTTAATCATTGTTTTTTTTCAGCATTCATATTAGAGCATTTGCATAGAAATTTACCATACATTAGAACTATGATTATTCACTAAGTTAAAGCTTAATATATTGCATAACTGCTTATTTCAGGAAAAAAAAAAAAAGCCATCTATTTTAAAATGGTTGCCAAGAGAGAATATACTTATAGAAAAAGGGAAACAAGTTAAAATAATTATCTTAACATTATCTTATCTTGTGTTAGGTTTTTTTTTAATTGAAATGATTGTTGCAAGTATATTGTCTTTACTAATTGATTTGAATAATATATTAGATAGTTTATGGTTAAGTGACTCCTTAATGTTTGGGTGATTATTTTATATTATTGTAATTGACAAATATAACATTGTTCTCTAACCGTACGTTCCCATTTTGGTGAATTCAAGCTCTCAAGAAGGATCTTGGTAGACAAAGTGTTATTGATAGTTAGGACTTCTCCACACTTCCTTATTAGTTTAGGATTTTATCAATTCCGCAATTCTCATAATTTGTACTCAAAATTTAGGATATGTTTATGACAGCTTTCTCTCTGCTTTGATTTTCAGACCGCCACCACGGTTATATTTGGGGAACTGTTTTTTTGCTGCTTTTTAGAGGTTTATGTGGTAAAAAAAAATTTTCAACTTGAGTTGTTAAAGTGTTGCGGCTGCCAGAAAGACAGCATCAGACTTTTTGAAAATAAAATAAACTTGTAATGATAACTGTAGCTTTTTAAAAAATAATTTCTTCTACAATAATTTCATAACTATTTCTTCAAATAGTTGTAGCTGCCTCAAACACACCCTTAGACAGTTAAGAAAATGTATGCTTATTCCCCCCTTTCATGTAAGCTAAAATTTACCAAACCAGAAAAAATAGTAGTGCTCTTGTGGTTGCAATGTTATCTCCATATCACATTTGTGTCTGCTACAGGTTTTTTTTATCCTCCTAGTTTAATTTGACTGCTACATTAAACAATCCCAAATAGAATTTTCAAGCAACGTAGAACTTTCTGATTGTTCTATAAAGAAACACAAAAAGAAAACGATGATGTATATATCGAAAGTGAAATGTGCAGTAAAAAACCAGCATATGACTATAATATACCTTAACAGATGAATTTACCAAAAGGAGATGCAGCGCATTTAGAATTTTATGTTGAGTCTGAGAAAGTACTGAGCTCGATTTGTAAATCTGTTGTCCAGGCCGACTTCGTTCTAACCCGGATAAAGATTTTATCTTCACCTGTTCATGCAGCAAAGGTGTTCGATCAATTGCAGCTTCGAAGATCTAACCCACGTATACATTTTTTCTTCACCTGTTCGTGCAGCAAGGGCCTTCGAACAATTGCACCTTCTGAAAAGAAGTTCGCTTCATCTCCAGCAAAGCGGGAGATAGTCTGCGGCAATGGTATCCTGAATTAAAACAAGGAATCAAAGATTACCAACTAAGTATAATGAAATCATGGCTGCATCTGTATTACAAATAAAAAGCTCACATCTGAAGGTCGTGGACTGCATCCACGGCTTCCTGCTTCGATGGGGCCGACCCAAATATATCAAGCGCTAAAAATCCCATCCCTGCTTGGGCTCGCTCTTCTCTACCGTCCCCCCTGTAGGGTTTGAAGCTTCGTCAATGAGTCACAAGCCGGAACGAGAACGCAGCTCAATGTTTTTGAAGAAGAAACAGAGAGAAGTGCGGCGGTAAATAGGGGCTTGAACCAGACGACGCGCACGGAAGCGGAGCTCGTCGGCGAGTTATAGCGACGCCGGCTGTTGTACGCGGTCACCGGATAATCTCTCCTGCTGAAGTAGTTGGAGGTAGTGGACGACAAGGCTTTCAGCACTGATAAAGCTGCCTGGTAACGCAAACCCAGTGTAAAAATCCTAGTAAACCTTGTAAAAATTTGTTTTTTAAACATTAACTTTATTTTGAGATAAATATGGTACATAAATAATAGTAATGATAATAAGCACTCTACCAAGGAGAAATTCATAAATAAAAAGGAGCATTTGCATGCATGGCGCACCATCCTTGTGCATTTACATATCTCGCAAGCAAACTTTAATAGGTTACCCAAACATTTTTCAAATCAAAGAGTATTACATTGTAATAGTATTCTCATTTTGATGATATCTAAAGAAAAAGTCTAGGAAGTTCATGAATGAATACTCTGTTGTCAAATCAACCAACGCATCAATTCATGACAATGGGTGACTATTCTGTGGGCAAAAGACATTTCTGTTAGTGAAGTTGATACACAATCTCCATTTGTCCTTCACTTTATTTATCATCACCACGTTGACAAGCTAGTCTGGATACTGCACTTCTCATGTGAAACCATAACCCATTAACTTTGCAACCTACTGTTCAATTAGTAGAGCCAGGTTGTAGTGGCTACGACCTGGATTTTTGCTTAAGTGGTTGAGCTTTGTGCTTCATATTCGAACAATGACAAATGATCTCAATGCTAACTCTTGACATTTCATCAAAGGGGTCTAAGCGAGGACATCACGACGACTCTTTAGAAAAGTGATGAGCAAATTCTTGAGATCTTCACTAAAATTAGTGATGATTAATAAGGTTCTTTCTGTTTGTTCGTCGGAAAAATGCACCGCCTCTGGGAGCTTGGCGGTTTCAAGACCATTTTCTTTGTTATTATTGAGCAAAAGATATTTCAATACATTATTTATGGCACTCGAGTAGCAAGTTGAGATTGGACAAGATCTATCGAGTGGTGATGAGATGTTTGCTAGTTGGAAAATTGGCGATGATGTGGTAGGTGGATGTTACTGCCTTGAAACTGTTCAACACCGGCTTGCCAATGATGTCATTCTACAAATTGGGGGCTCTACGACGATATATCAGTTATCGTCGTGTATGGATGTTCTCCTTCTTCCCAAGTGATGGAAGGGGGATTACCCTGCTCGCCTCTTTGCGTTGTTTGGAGAAACCAAAAAGCATTCTCGTATTTTCAAGTGATCATTTTAATAGGAAATTTATGGGACTATTAGTGTCCATCAGGATGAAATTGATTTTGATAATCATTGATAAATGTTGTGATTACGATGACATTGTTGAGAGGATTACTGCTAACAGGTTGATCAACATCTAAGAATATTAAGAAGAAGATGGATTTGTATAGCATGCTAGCCAGAGTAGTTCAACAGACCTCCCTAGTCCTTTAACCTCTTCGTGTTTGACCTTCGTGAAGCCTCATGTCTGTCTCCTCCAAAGATGGTTGATACAATTCCAACGATGTGGACTAGCTTCGTTGGAGCACACTCATTGTTATTGTCATAGATAAGTTCCTTACCATTTTGTTGAGTATGGGCTTCTTAGACCATAAATTATTGTAGTTTCCCTGCCTTAATTAGCCCATCAATCAAATAATGAAGATATTGACACTCCTCATTGCCATGACTACGATCTCAGCGGTACGCACATTATAAGTTTGGATAACAAGCTTGCATACCTACTTTTAAAAGGAACTGTTTTCTGAAGCAATCATTATGTTGGGTGGCATCCACCACTTTCGGCAATGGAAACACTCAATGGTTTGACTTCAACGAAAGGAGGATAAGCTTATTGTCTCTTGTCTTCTTATGACTGGCATCATGTTGCTTCGCTCATGAAGGGTAAGTTTATTGAGAGCACTACAAGATTTCTTCATAAAGTGGTTAATTGAATTTTGACGATCATCGTGAGATTGACTCTTAAATTTCTTCCTAGGCTCCAGTACCTGAGATGGTACAGGGAGAGAATTGTACTCTTTGGTAGGGATGTGGTTATTTGCGAGCGCTAATAAATTAGTCAACATCTTTGGTTTCCACGTGCAAAGTGCGTACCATATTTATCCTATATGGAGTCATTCAGCCAAATTTACAAGAGCAAAGACATGTTCAAGATGCTAAACAACTGGTATCTTTCCTTGAAAATGATTGATGAAGCCTCGGAGACTCTGGGCAAGTTTCAAATGGGTCTTCAGAAACAATTGGCAGTTCTTTCATTGCTTTTACGTGCTAGCAAACTGAGTCACAAACATTTGTTTGAACTCTCGGAAAGAGGTGACAACTCCTGATGGGTTGTTGAACAAACTTAGAGCTAATTCCTTTAATATCATGAAGAGAAAACAATATTTTAAAACATCGTTTATTCAGAGTAGGCATATGGCTGACTCAAATGAAACTAGGTGATCATTGGGATGAGATTTTCTCTTGTAAGATTCCAAAGAAGGAATCTAAAACTTCCTCTGTGCCTCAACTTCCGCAATTCCTCCTGAAAATTCACTCTCCTCTAACCATTGTCTTTTCTTCCTCTTGTGACATTGTCGTTAGAGTAGTCGAGAGAATTCTTCTTCTTCTTCTTTCATCTCTAGTTGAGGCCATAACAGATCCTTTTTGTCTTGAATAATCATGATCGTCTGCATGTAACCTCTCTCATTCCAAGATTGGACCAAGATTTATTCTCAGTCCAGTTCATAATAAAATCCGTAGCAGCTAGTACTAGCTCTGTTGAATCTTGTCTCGACAGTTCTTGCCTTGGTGGATCTATCCTTGATGGACCTACCCCTGGAGGATATATCCTTAGTGGACCTTGTCTGCAAGCCTCCAATCCTGACGTTTTAGTGTGTGCCCCTTGATTCAGTTCAAGTATGAGATCCAGACGCTCCTCTTACTTCTTTTGTAGTCGTCATCATCCGCTCCTTTAACTCACTCAAAGCACAAATTCACGGTGAAATCTATTGTTCTCTTTGATCCTACTTCAGGTGAAAATGATCTCTTGTAGAGTTCATGCATGAACTTCACGCTCCCAGACTTTTTAAGATGTTGAATCCTTCTGAGACGTAAGGTTTTGTATTATTTGTGAGTGTGTACAATCCGATAAAGACCTTATATCACGGATACTAGTATTGAGAGAGAAACTTAAAAAATGTATTCAATTGTTATCTACATTGAGCTGAAAAAGTCAAATCCCTCGAAAGCCCCCTTAGTTATAAGATTATAGAGGGAGAAGGAGAGATAAATTCTCTCATTTTATACAAAAAAGAAAAATAATAATAAAATAATAAATGAGATACATTTCATGTCATACGATGCCCTCCTCAGTGTCTTGATGAAAATACTATGATGTGGGTGTTAAACAATGGGAACATGACACACATTTTTTATGTTTGAGTGAAAAAAATGGGTCTTAAATGTCGTGAAGCTTTTTTACTAACACAATAACATGTCCTCACTATTAATGATAATTTTATCTAGTAATTGCCCTTGCATAAAGGAGCCTGATTTGCATTTCAAAAGAAACATATACAACCACTTCAACACGTGAATTTGATTCTATAAAAATAATTAAAAATTATCATATAATTATATTTGTGCATGCAATATATATAATATTTGTAAAAAAAATAAAGTTTAAGCATTGGATATATAAATACATAGGAATTGGGAGGTATGTACTTAAATGCCCCTAATTTTAAAACATAATTAATAAATCTTTAGTTCATCCATATACCTTAAAGATAGACTCGCTCAAAAATATATACCTTAAAGATAGACTCGCTCAAAAATAATATTTTTTTAATCCACTTATCGATAGCTAACGTTCCCCCACCAATTTCCCCAAACCCTTCTCCTCTTCCCTGTCTCCATTTTTTGTTCTTCCCGCGGTATTTCACTCTCGCGCCACTGGTAATGGGTGTCGGCGGAAACTTCTGGGACCTCCTCAAGCCCTACGCTCGCTTCGAAGGCGTAGATTTTCTCCGCGACAAGCGTGTCGCCGTTGATCTCTCCTTCTGGATCGTTCAGCACGATGCCGCCATTCGCAGCAAAAATCCGGGCGTCCGTAATCCTTATCTGCGCACCACCTTTTTCCGAACCCTAGCACTGTTCACCAAGGTCCCTTCTTTCTACCTATCTCTCTTCTTTATATGCTTTACTGTGGTGTTTATGTGGATGCCTAGATGGTAAGTATTGGTTTCGATTCGTGTAGCTGGGAGCGTTTCCGGTGTTTGTTCTGGATGGGGAGCCTTCGCCGCTCAAGGATCGAGCAAGGATGGAGCGTTTCCTTCGGGGTTCGGGCCTGGAGCATTCGGCTCTCGCGAAGCCACCGGAGGCTGCTGCAGGGCAGGCTGCGCCGGCTGCAAGGCAACGGAACCGCGTGTTTACTGCGTGGGTGCAGGAGTGCGTTGTGAGTGGAAGATTTTCAAATGATGCTTCTTTTGTTTTAAGCCACGGTGTAATCACGTTATTGCAGAGAAATCATTGAAATGTGTTATATGGAATAGGTAATATAAATATATATTACGGTTAGTAGAATATATTTAATATTCCTTAAGATTATTCATAATATATATATTAAAAATTTAATTTTTTAGAAATATTTTGATCATGTTCATAAGTATTTGTCCGTGCACTTCATTACAAAGCAAACATTAAGGAAAAAAATCACCTTTTTGCTGGTCATTCAAATTACTTGTTTTAAATTGGCTTCTCTATCTTGCACTTTCTGAAGTGGGAGAGTGGGAGGTGCTGCTTCTCTTTTACTTTGGAGTAATCAAACAGATCCTAAGTGTAAAATATAGAGAAGGATATTTTCTGGAATTGGACTTTCTGAAGTGGGAGAGTGGGAGGTGCTGCTTCTTTTTTTACTTTGGAGTAATCAAACAGATCCTAAGCGTAAAATATAGAGAAGGATATTTTCTGGAATTGGTCTTATTTATCTAGCTTCTTTTAGTTTTTGTGTTCTCTTTCATCATCTGAGGCTTCCAATATCATATATTAGGAATTAGGTAGCATCATGAATAGAAAAAAAAAAACGTCAATTACATTAAGTTGTGATTACAAGTTGATGAAATTTTCTCCAAGCAACGGGCTGAATATTTACAAAGCCCGGCTCTCCACTTCTAAATTGTGAGAATAAAGGTTGCATTGTTTTTTGACAAATCATAGTTATGCTCAGCGTTTACCAAGATGGAGAAACAAAGAAGTGTGTGTGTGTGTGTGTGTCATATTCATCTTATGATTGAGATTTGACAGCCACAAAAATGTTAATCCTGGTGATGTTTTATTGCCTCAAAGTACTTTGTTTCTCTTTCATGAAACTTAAAAAGGTTTGTATATTGTTGTATTCTATATTATTTAAGAAAAAACATCTAAATTTCCATATAAAATTGTGATTAGACCTACTGCATGTTATGGATATTAGTTTTTGGCAACAGTAATGTCATAGTAACTCAAGTTGAATGTGGTAAAAATATAATATCAATATGTATTTGTGACAAAATTTGAAAGGATAGATTTAGAAATGGTTGTATTAGAGAAATTGCTGCAACAACACTTATCAAAAATAAGTTAGCGAGAAATTGATCAAGATGGTTTGAAAATTCACAATAGAGGATAGAAAATGCCCCACTAAGATGAATAGATAATGTTAATGTAGATGGAGGAGGAATGAAAATGGGCAGAAGTAACATAACATAGATAGAAATTGTAAAAACAGAAGGAAGAGATTTGTGTTAATTAAATTAAATATATTAAATAACACCTAAAATAAATAAATGAAAAATAATGATTTGTAAAGTTTTAATGATGATGATTATGAATGTACTTTTGACCTATATTGCTCCTGTTTTACTATTATTTTCGTCAAGGAAGTGGCTTTGCACAATTTTCTTATTTACCTGCATCTTAATTTTTTTCTTTTTGATGGTTGTTTTTTTTACTTTGCTAATTCTGCCGACTAATTTGATACTAAGCGGCTATTGTTCAGCTAGTAGAGAACAACAGAAGTTCATAATAAAAAGTAATTGTGGATAAAAGTTCAATTGCATTTTTCAACCCCTATTTTGAGGAAAGAAAATTTAAATAATAGATATAGTTTTAAGCGTGCGGATCCAATTTGCTAATGGTGAATATGAAATATTTGTTGTGTTCTAACTAAGGATACTTTCTCTAATTTTACTGTAATTCATGAATTTCTTTTGAACCAAATAACAATATAATTTTTTGTTAACACAAATTTATTTATAGAACGGTCATGTTCTTCAGACATTGGGGAATTAGTTTATTGTTTTTCTTTTAACGTTAATGTTGGGCATGGTATTATTTATTGAAGGAGAGATAAGCAAGATATTATTTACTTTCCTCTTCTCCCTTCATTTTAAAGAAATAAAAATCAGGTAAATTGTGTATGATTTCCATAGATTCCCAATATAAATTCTATCATCCTTAAATTTTAGAGAATTGAGCTTCCTTCATTTTATGTTTCCATCACTTGAGCCAATTCATAAAATTTTAATTAAGTTGAAAGTTAAATTATGATGGTATCATTTAATAAGTAAATCCTACATTGTAAGGAAATTACAAAGCGTAATTTTGGTATTAACTTCAAGTATGTTGGACGTGTGGCATGCAACTTTTACACATTAATGCTATTAGGGTGGGCATAAGCCCTAAACAAATCATAAAAGTAGGGGCCATCAGCTATGTTCAACTTCACAATAAGTATTTATCCCCATTTAATTTATGAAAAAATTTGCTGTTGTTTTTTTTATGATTTAGCAATAAAAGACTCAATATAGAAACTGTTGACAAAATTTTCAGCAACTTATATTTATAAAACATGATATTTTATTTCTTAATTTTTACTTGATTTTTGAAGTTTTGGAAGGCATTTAGTAATTTTTTTTCTTAACATTGCTAGGAATTGCTTGAAATCCTAGGTATGCCTGTTTTGAAAGCTCAATCTGAGGCTGAAGCTCTTTGTGCAAAATTGAACAATGAAGGCTATGTTGATGCTTGCATTACTTCTGACAGTGATGCATTCCTCTTTGGGGCAAAATGCGTCATAAAATGCCTTCGATCTAATTCCAAAGTAAGCAGGTGCTTCTTCTTTCATCTAGTAATTGTTTTTATTTTTGCTTAATTATTGTCAAAGTTTAAAGCAATAAATAGTTCTATGTTGTCATGCATTAATTTGATGTATGTATGAATTTGTAATTTTACCAATTTTTCATTTACATAATGCCTAAGAGGTTTTTTTATAAACTTCACTACAATAGTCTAAACTCTGAACTTGTCAGAATATACTTGGATGCTGAAAATATGAGCACGATGAAATGAAATGATTATCAACATTGATGAATTATGCTTTTATGGTTATTGAGTTATCAGAAGACAAGTTTTTTTCTACAGCATTAAGAAGTATCTTAAATGCTGGTATTACATTTTTTTTTTTGACAGACTTGGGAACCTTAAGAGGCAACAATGTTATATGTTCACTGGGATGTATTATGTGTCACCAAATGACAATGAGAAACTAATCACTCTTATACGATTTTTTCTTGGAAGAATAGTTATTATTAAGTATCAATGTAAGCCTAAACGGTGAACAGCGGCAAATATTCAACATTATATTTTTTTTTACTTTGCCATGCTGTCCTAATGATCCATTTGAATGTAGATTCTTGTAATAGCTCTATGTTGTGACTAGCACTTTGAGCTTTTTGGGCGGATAGCATTAAACTAACTAATCTCATAAGGGTAACATTCTATTGATTTTACTGTTGACAAAAAAAAACTATAAAAAGTTTATATGTAATTGTCCACTGTTATCAAATTAACCCGAGTGAATCTTGTGTGGAATCAACCTATAGCATGGATTAAGTGGCCACTTGAATGATCAAATTGTGAATTTGCCTATGGGATGAGGTTAATAAATCTGAACCACTCATGGACTTGATTAATCCAAGCTGTGAAACCAATTATTTTGATTGTAGATGCTCCTCACTGGTCAAAGATAAGCTAAATTAAATAGGAGGACAAAGATAAGCTAACTTAATGTGGCTTGGTTCTGCCTCCTGCTATTTATGAGTGACAACCACATTAAATGATGAACACCAAGTGTTCATAAATCAAAATAATATCAAATCAAATTAAAACGGACCCATATACATTAACAACAAGAACCTGCCTGATTGATAGGTAAAAGTGCCAACTTATTGACCACCCTAAGTGACACATAATTGCCATTTATCATTAATGTAGGAATCATTTAAAAGCACAAATATTCCATAAAATTGCATAAAAATTCCTGTGAATTCCTATTTACAATACACTTTCATTTCAATGTGATTAATTGATTGGGATATCTCCTTAGATTAATAAATATCTCTTGTGCAGAAACCCTTTGAGTGCTATTACTTATCTGATATTGAAGCTGGTCTTGGATTGATGAGAAAACAAATGGTAGCCATCGCCCTTCTAGTTGGAAATGACCATAATTTGCAAGGAGTGCCTGGTTTTGGTGTTGAAACAGCTCTTCGTTTCGTAAAGCTATTTCCAGATGATGATGTTTTGGATAGGTTTGCAAATATATATTTGGTTAATCAGTTTCTATTCTGTAGTGAGATAATTATGGCATTTAATGTAGGCTATCTGAAGTTGGTAAAGGGATAATGCCTGCATCCCAGGAATGCTTTGAAGCTAAATTTGAACATGATGCACCGAGTCAGCTTGAGGATGTGGGAACTGCAAGGTCTCCACACTGCTCACAATGTGGTCACCCAGGCAGTAAAAGGGCTCATTTGAAGATTTCTTGTGAATATTGCGTCAACAATGGTTCAGAAAGCTGCACTATGAAATCAACTGGATTTAAATGTTATTGTTCTGGCTGTAGCAAGGTTCATAATCTCAACTTATTGATTTTTTCCCCCTTTTTTTCATTTTCATTGATCTCTGGAGGGTTAATATGTTGGGGCATTTACATACATACCACTCAATTCTTATGTATTTGCATGTCTCACAGAACAATTAAATCATTAATATCACATCAAAAGTATCAAGCTAACTTTTAAAAAGTCACATGCTTCTTTTTACGCATAGGTTTATAGCACCTTGATGCTATAAATGTAAATATTTTACTATAGGTGTTAGATATGTAACTCCATAAGAATTGCGTGACCTGCATGTAAATTTCTCTAATTTTTATTGAAATTGGAGATGCTAACTCCATGGCTGCGCTTCATGTTAGTGCTTTCACATGGGTTTCTTTTTTTTTTTTTTTTTTTTTTTTTTTTTGGTATTACGTTAATTTAACTAGCACAAAAGATTTGCAGGCCCCTGAGTTTTAGTTTATCTTATGTTTTCACAAGCATTGAAGTTTTAAAATTGACATTTAAGTCCCTATAATATCATGAAACTCTCATTTGGGATGGCTGTAATTGTCTGTAAAATTATTCATGAAGCTGTTGTGGCAAAACTGAAGTTTTTAACGATGCTTAGTGATTATAAACATTTTTCATTAAAAAAAAAATGTACAACAGCTTTTCAAACACCGCCACCTTATTGCTAGCTTTAGTTGTGAATAGCTCCTCACCACCAAAATATTTGAAAATCAGTAAAAAGATTATGCCCAAAGAGAAGTGTGACAATTGATTTGCAATGTAAAATTATGAAAAATCTATCCCAAGTGCACCATAAATTTGCTATGTTGGTCTCTCGCATCAACGTTAGACAAATAAGAATTTATGGATGATGTTACCTTCAAAATTGTCATAAAAAAAATCCTTAGTGCCTTGGTACATTTGTTGGGCTATAAGTTTTTTATTGTGAGGTCGAGGGACATACATATAATCTTCGAGTATTACGTGCGCCGGATGTTGTAGCTTTTTTTGGGTTGGGACCATTATCACTTTCTAAAAGTGAAACACATTTTTTTCATGCATAGGTTTAAAGGGCCAAAGTGTTATGTATGTAAATATGAAAGTTTAAATGTGAGATATGTAAATACATGAGAATTGTGTGCTGGGAATGTAAATTTTCTCTTTTTTTATTTCTTTTTTCTTTTGAATTGTTGGGTTATTTTGAGTTAGTTCTTTACCAAATGTTATTGCCTCTGGTATGTTACACATAATTCAATCACTTTACAATTGATTCCAGGATCGTGCAATTAAAGAACAGAAGAAGCAGGAAAGTTGGCAGTTGAAGGTTTGTCAGAAGATTGCTGCAGAATCTGGTTTTCCCAACAAAGAAATCATTGAGATGTATTTAAATCCTAATAATCATGACAATGAAGGTTAAACCCTCCAGCACAGCTCAGTGCATCATCCCTATTATTTTTGTAACGAGAAAAATGTCAAAATAGTCTTCTGACTCTTTTAGAGGTCTATTTTAATCCCAAAGCCTATAAAAATATCAATTTAGTCCCCAAACTCTTTTAATGAGGGCTATTTCAGCTCATATCCGAAGAGTCTAGGGATTAATTTAACATTTTAGACCCTGGGACTATAATAGCACCATAGATATAGTTAGGGGACTATTTTAACACTTTATTCTATATGAAATGCAACAATGCTACTACCATAGAGGAAAAAGGAACCACTGGCACACAGTGGGACATTTGTTTTTTCATGCTGAAGATGATTTTTCTTCCTCTTGTTTATTCAGCTTCTTGTTTTTTTTCTTTAAATTTTTCTAGCTCTTATTGCTTGCTTTATTTCCAAGTAGTTCTGAATATTCTCTTCTTCATCATATTATCTCATGTTTATAACGCCAAATTATCTCCAGGAAGTTATAGCCTGCTGCTGCGCTGGGATAAGCCTAAGGTTGAAATTCTGGTCGACTTTTTAGCTTTTCACCAACACTGGCAGCCATCTTATGTAAGGCAACGAATTCTTCCTATGCTTTCAACAATATTCTTGAGAGAAATGGTGTCAACTTCAGAAGAAGGATTACTTCTATATGATCAGTATGAGTTCCACTCAATCGAGCGAGTAAAGATTCGATATGGCCATCCCTATTATCTGGTTAAATGGAAGAAGTTGATTCATAGTTTGGATTATGTTACTCAAAATTTCGCTAATGAAGAGTCGGTAACCGGGCAAACTGAATCTACGGAAGCTGATGAATTCGTGGACTCGATGGAAGGTCCAGATGTTCCGACGATTATTGTCGATGATGGGTGTTGGTATCTGGTGACGGAGGAGAATACTGAGCTCGTAAAAATTGCATTTCCGAAAGTGGTCGAGAAGTTCTTGCAAGAAAAGGTATGCATTTATTTAATTTTGTTAAGTTGTTATTTTACATCTCTAGTAATTTTTATCACATAATTAACATTTGTTCGAATTTAGAAACAATTAGTTAAACACATGGGTGGAGTTAATGGAATGTGTCGGGGAGGAGGCCCCAATTACAATTTTAATTTGTCCGATATATAATTAATATAGGGGTATTTAATACATATGACATAATTCTTAGGTATTTACATGTCTCACTGAAAGGAAACTCCACAGATTTTTTCAAAAATTAGCGCAAAATGAATATTTATTTCAGTGATCCACATAACTCAACACGAATTTAAAGATGGACATCTACAATTCGAGAGGTAGACGATCTCTCCCAATTCCTACAATTCAAGGGGTAGAAAATCTCTCCCAAATCCTAAACCTAAGACTCACAACCATAATCTCATGCATAACTAACTTTAAACCTTTTAATAACAAATATAAAAGACTAAATTGTTCTTAGACATACAAAAGACAATTATACGTAATATAGACACCGACTAACATTACTCCCCCCTTCCCTAAAATACACCTCGTCCTCAAGGTGGGAAAATTTGAGGGCGTTCATCCTTGTCTACCACCATTGACTCTGTTTCTTCATCCTCTGTCTCCTTGTCATACACTGTGAGAATCTGTAATGTTCGATCCTGCAACGGTGTTCTTGGATAAACTTCTCATCATACTGAAAGCATAATCCCTTGGCTCGCTTCTCCTAAATCTGTCTCTGTAAGGCGCTTGAATGACGCTCCTTATGGCGACCCATTATTCTTGTCCTGTGACCATTTGAGCTTTTGGTATCATTGTGGTTGTAGTAGTTTGATATAATGCTCCTCCTATCCTGCTCCTGTTAGCCTCTTTTGTGGTATTATAATCTTCAACTAACTGCACTAATTTCATAATTTTTCCGAAGGTTTGCGGTCTTAGTGACCGTAGTACTGCACGTATGTTGGGCTTTAGAGCCTTTATGGAGTTTTCCTCCGATACTATTTCAAAAATTCTCTTTAGCTGTTTCGACAAAAGCTCAAATTTCTCCTTATATTCCATGACAGTCCCTTCCTGAGTCAATGGAAAGAATTGTTCGTGCAGGTCTCCTTCTCGAATAACTCAAAAACATTCCAACA